ATAACTGTGATATGTATAAGGTGCAAGAACTCCTAATGCATTTATATAATTTATTCTAGTGTTGACAAAAAGAAAAATATAATTAATGTGCAAAAGTGATATGATACATGAAGTGACTAAGTGTGTAGGGTATCTCTCATATAATACAGTAGTTCACAGACATACACTTATTTTAAAAATATCCATCTTTTATGTTTGGTAAAGGATGAATATATAGATAGACAACCATTCTAAATTATATTATTTTCTTCATGGAATTTGATGAATGTAACACTATTTATAATAGAAAATAGTCATTATTGAAACTGCACAAATTTGGCGTATTCTGCTAGTGATGAGCTATAACACCGCAAACTAACATAAAAATCACAATCACATATAAATGGAAAAGAGATCAATTTGCATGGCGAGTTAACACATATCTACACGTGCCGATCTCTACGATTTTCACAAACCTAGGTGTCTCTCACAGCTCCAACCTTGTTTGGCTCACATAAACTATGACACTCCACATTTCATACATGCCAGCTAAGTGACCCCACCTTCTTCCAAGCCTAAAAACTCAAAGCTGCATATAATGAAGAAAGAATAGAGTTGCAAATTGCTTAAGCTTTTTCAAATCTCATTCACCAGTTGAGAAAGAAAGGATCATTGTGGAATCATGGCAACAACAAGAAGATATGAGTTTGGAACGAATGAGAGTAGCCACCCAGACTCTATCAGAGCCACCATAGCTGAATTCATCTCCACTTGCATCTTTGTCTTTGTTGGAGAAGGCTCAGTCCTTGCTTTGAGTCTGTACCACATATATGCGCACACTCTCAAAACTTATATTATAACCTCTCTTATTACATGCATGCTATTGTATTTACATGATTATGAATGTGTGTGTGTGTGTATATATATATATATATATATATTATGTGGTGTGATGAGTGTTTGATTGAGTTGTGTGATTGTAGATCAAATTTACAAAGAACCTGGGTCATCAGCATCTGAGCTAGTGGTAATTGCAGTGGCTCATGCCTTTGCTCTATTTGCTGCTATTGCTGCAAGTGCACATGTTTCTGGTGGACACGTGAACCCTGCTGTCACTTTTGGTGCTCTTCTTGGTGGAAGGATCTCCGTTCTTAAAGCTATTTACTACTGGATTGCTCAAATCCTTGGTTCTATTGTTGCTGCTCTCTTGTTGAGACTTGTCACTAACAACATGGTATGTGACATCAAATTCACCTTTTCCTCTCTGATATTGCTGTTTGTTGCATTCAAAAACTCGTTACTGTCATACTTATTTTTAATGTAATCTTTATTTCAAAGACAATGGTCTACATGATCAACTTGGTAATCTTTATGCAGAACCAATTTAATAAGTAAATTTTCTCTTTAACCCAAACAAGGTCATCTCTTGTGTACAATTTTTATAAAAACTAAGATATGAGAAACCATATAGTAGTGACTAAACTGTGGTTGGGTGTTGCAGAGACCAGAGGGATTCAGTTTATCAGTTGGGGTTGGAGCGGTTCATGGTCTTATACTTGAAATTGCCCTCACATTTGGTCTGATGTACACTGTGTATGCCACTGCTATGGATCCTAAAAGGGGTACAGTTAGCACAATTGCACCCTTAGCCATTGGACTGGTGGTAGGAGCAAACATCCTGGCTGGTGGACCTTTTGATGGAGCATGCATGAACCCTGCTCGGGCTTTTGGGCCTGCATTGGTGGGCTGGAGGTGGCAGAACCACTGGATCTTCTGGGTGGGCCCATTACTTGGGGCAGCCCTAGCAGCAGTCCTGTATGAATTCGTTGTTATCCCAATTGAGCCTCCTCCTCATCAACCTTTGCCTGCTGAAGAGTACTAGTTCATTTGGGTATTATGAAATCGGTTTAATTAACCTAAGCTCATGCCTCTGTTTTTTATCACTGTTTTTCTGCATTTTTCTTTGATGCTGGTTTGGTTTGGACTTTGGAGTATCAACACTAAACTTGTTTAGTGTGTAGATGTTTTACTCCATCAGTATGCTGAATAAAGTGAGATCCCTAATCACTTACAACTCTACATGCTTCAAAATAAAGACAATTCAAAGATATCATCTGAGTCTTTTGTCTATGAAAACAAATTTGTGGCACCTTAGTTTCAATATTTTTCCTTTGTTCTTTCTTCAGTACTAATGTCTGTGCATCTCTCTCAGTTAACTACTTTTGCAATCACACTCTCTCCCCTAGTTTACTTACTTCACCATGGATGCTAGAACTCACTTTTTGAATTTAATAAATAAATAAATAAACCCAAAAAATTATGTTGCGATTTTGTTTTTTATAATGCACTTATACATAGTTTGTAATATATTTCGATTTATAATGTACTTACTATTATTTTTTGGATTTTACTAACGTCCTTATTATTTTAATTTATCTTTCTATTTTTAAATTAATATTTAGTAATTAAAGAAATCAATGATAAAAATTGTATTATAACATAATTTTTTTATCATAAATCTCAAACATAACATATAGGCTAAAAAGCATTCATTTACTATACATGTTAGTNAATGCTCGTGAGTTATTTTATGCATGTCCTCGATTCTGATGTTATCGGTGTTCGTGTACGCGAAGTTGTTGTTGAAGTTGGTGGGCAACCCTCTTCACCTATGGGTTTCTTCAAATCTCTCAAGTTTCTCTCTCCTCATGGTCCGCTACCACTACGTCGTGATTGCTTATGGTTAGAGGTGTTGCGACCGCCACTGTCGAAGTCGTTTCTAGCGTTGGTGCAACCTCTTTACTCTTTCCTCTTCGTAGGAATGGCTACCTTCTTCCTCACCAAAATCATAGTCCCCTCCACTGTTGTACTGAGAGTGAGGCCATTTAGCCTTGTGTCATCCTTGTCGACCGCCACGGTTGCCACAATGAAGGATGTTGTTGACGTTATATCGAATGGATTATAACTAGTATAAAATATTGTTATAAAAAGTTATTTTTGCACTAATTTCTTTATTTAATTTATATATTTATTAAAATTTCATATTTAATTATAGTTTCACACAAAGAGAATAAACCATTTACATAAAAAAAATATTAATGTTTTGGTTTATATAATGTATAACTTAAAGTTGAAAAGTAAACAAATTAGAACAATTGTCTCTATTCCATTTAAAGGTGTCAAAATGGGTTCAAACATGAGTTAATTTGGCTCACCATGAGTTTTCATTCAGCTTCCATTGAAAAGAATATAGTTGTTTTAAAGGTGCAAAATTTGTATAACTTGAAGTTAAAAAATTAGCAAAGTAGAAAATTCGTCACTCTTCCATTTAAATGTGTCAAAATGGATTCAAACTTTTGAGTCAATTCAGCTCACCATGGATTCGAGGGAGGTCCCATTGAAAAAAATATATATAATTATTTTAAATGTGGTTAAATTGAACCTAACTTATTCAAGTTGCAAATTCAATGAGTCCGGATCAAATTAGAAATAGATTAACTTTTAACCTACCACCGACAATCTTTTATAATTTTTTAATTAGCATTTTTTTATTTACTATTTCTAATTATGTAAGTTAATAATTTGATCTTTCTAAATACTATAATATTGTTCAATTTTGTTTTTGAATAATTTAGATGATTATTTTATTTATTTACTCAATTATATAGATGGACACTTTTTGTTTTCACTTGTTATCTTTTCTTTTATAATAATGTTTGAAAAAATAGATAAATACTTTTACTGTGCTGATATAAATAAACAAGTCGTGCCAATATATTTTTATTATATTATAATAAATATATAGAATAAGTTGGGAGAACAAAACATGTGAAGTGACTCAACCTTAATGGATTAAGTTACAAAAATTTTAATTCACTAAAAGTGAATCAACCTTAATAGGTTAAGTGATAGGATTTCTAACTCATCAAGAGTGAATCAAGTTGAGTTGACTTATTTTTAACTCAATATATAATGAGTCAACCATGTGAGTTGGGTTGATTGACTTTGATATCCCTCTTATCTTCTCTTATATGTGACAATATTGAATCAGCTAATGAATGAATATGATGGTGATAATATAATGATAACGAATATGTTTATAAAAAAACAAGATATTCAACTTTTAATGCAATGATAATATAAATTTTAATGTTAATGTCGATTCATAATTTTCAGAAGAGTTTGATGGTGATCAATATTGTGATGAAGATAATGATTGAAATGATTGTAAGAATAAAACTTCAATTGAATTAAGCGCTTTAATACCATAAAGCAATTAGTGGATGATAAGTTTGATCTTGTAAGACAATCATGATTTAAAATCAATACAATACAAATAATTTATATAAAATATAATAAATAACTTTTATTAAAGACTAATATGTTTAAAAGAGGGTATCTTGTTCATGTATGTGCACTATGTTTTGGTTGAATTCTTTCTCGTTTTTAGTGACTATTTGATATTTATTTTTTAAAATATAACTGTGATATGTATAAGGTGCAAGAACTCCTAATGCATTTATATAATTTATTCTAGTGTTGACAAAAAGAAAAATATAATTAATGTGCAAAAGTGATATGATACATGAAGTGACTAAGTGTGTAGGGTATCTCTCATATAATACAGTAGTTCACAGACATACACTTATTTTAAAAATATCCATCTTTTATGTTTGGTAAAGGATGAATATATAGATAGACAACCATTCTAAATTAAATTATTTTCTTCATGGAATTTGATGAATGTAACACTATTTATAATAGAAAATAGTCATTATTGAAACTGCACAAATTTGGCGTATTCGGCTAGGGATGAGCTATAACACCGCAAACTAACATAAAAATCACAATCACATATAAATGGAAAAGAGATCAATTTGCATGGCGAGTTAACACATATCTACACGTGCCGATCTATACGATTTTCACAAACCTAGGTGTCTCTCACAGCTCCAACCTTGTTTGGCTCACATAAACTATGACACTCCACATTTCATACATGCCAGCTAAGTGACCCCACCTTCTTCCAAGCCTAAAAACTCAAAGCTGCATATAATGAAGAAAGAATAGAGTTGCAAATTGCTTAAGCTTTTTCAAATCTCATTCACCAGTTGAGAAAGAAAGGATCATTGTGGAATCATGGCAACAACAAGAAGATATGAGTTTGGAACGAATGAGAGTAGCCACCCAGACTCTATCAGAGCCACCATAGCTGAATTCATCTCCACTTGCATCTTTGTCTTTGTTGGAGAAGGCTCAGTCCTTGCTTTGAGTCTGTACCACATATATGCGCACACTCTCAAAACTTATATTATAACCTCTCTTATTACATGCATGCTATTGTATTACATGATTATGAATGTGTGTGTGTGTGTGTGTATATATATATATATATATATATATATATATATATATATATATTATGTGGTGTGATGAGTGTTTGATTGAGTTGTGTGATTGCAGATCAAATTTACAAAGAACCTGGGTCATCAGCATCTGAGCTAGTGGTAATTGCAGTGGCTCATGCCTTTGCTCTATTTGCTGCTATTGCTGCAAGTGCACATGTTTCTGGTGGACACGTGAACCCTGCTGTCACTTTTGGTGCTCTTCTTGGTGGAAGGATCTCCGTTCTTAAAGCTATTTACTACTGGATTGCTCAAATCCTTGGTTCTATTGTTGCTGCTCTCTTGTTGAGACTTGTCACTAACAACATGGTATGTGACATCAAATTCACCTTTTCCTCTCTGATATTGCTGTTTGTTGCATTCAAAAACTTGTTACTGTCATACTTATTTTTAATGTAATCTTTATTTCAAAGACAATGGTCTACATGATCAACTTGGTAATCTTTATGCAGAACCAATTTAATAAGTAAATTTTCTCTTTAACCCAAACAAGGTCATCTCTTGTGTACAATTTTTATAAAAACTAAGATATGAGAAACCATATAGTAGTGACTAAACTGTGGTTGGGTGTTGCAGAGACCAGAGGGATTCAGTTTATCAGTTGGGGTTGGAGCGGTTCATGGTCTTATACTTGAAATTGCCCTCACATTTGGTCTGATGTACACTGTGTATGCCACTGCTATGGATCCTAAAAGGGGTACAGTTAGCACAATTGCACCCTTAGCCATTGGACTGGTGGTAGGAGCAAACATCCTGGCTGGTGGACCTTTTGATGGAGCATGCATGAACCCTGCTCGGGCTTTTGGGCCTGCATTGGTGGGCTGGAGGTGGCAGAACCACTGGATCTTCTGGGTGGGCCCATTACTTGGGGCAGCCTTAGCAGCAGTCCTGTATGAATTCGTTGTTATCCCAATTGAGCCTCCTCCTCATCAACCTTTGCCTGCTGAAGAGTACTAGTTCATTTGGGTATTATGAAATCGGTTTAATTAACCTAAGCTCATGCCTCTGTTTTTTATCACTGTTTTTCTGCATTTTTCTTTGATGCTGGTTTGGTTTGGACTTTGGAGTATCAACACTAAACTTGTTTAGTGTGTAGATGTTTTACTCCATCAGTATGCTGAATAAAGTGAGATCCCTAATCACTTACAACTCTACATGCTTCAAAATAAAGACAATTCAAAGATATCATCTGAGTCTTTTGTCTATGAAAACAAATTTGTGGCACCTTAGTTTCAATATTTTTCCTTTGTTCTTTCTTCAGTACTAATGTCTGTGCATCTCTCTCAGTTAACTACTTTTGCAATCACACTCTCTCCCCTAGTTTACTTACTTCACCATGGATGCTAGAACTCACTTTTTGAATTTAATAAATAAATAAATAAACCCAAAAAATTATGTTGCGATTTTGTTTTTTATAATGCACTTATACATAGTTTGTAATATATTTCGATTTATAATGTACTTACTATTATTTTTTGGATTTTACTAACGTCCTTATTATTTTAATTTATCTTTCTATTTTTAAATTAATATTTAGTAATTAAAGAAATCAATGATAAAAATTGTATTATAACATAATTTTTTTATCATAAATCTCAAACATAACATATAGGCTAAAAAGCATTCATTTACTATACATGTTAGTTATAATATAATCTGTGAATTTTAATTATAGTGTAATCCATATATTTAAAATTATTTATTCAGTGCAAGAGATTTATGGGAGCTAAGTTACTTAGCCTAGTAGTGACAAAGAACAACACCCGTAATAATCAAGGCAAAGTAGAGGGAAGTAGGATATTCATTTCATGGATTAAACTACAAAGAGTAATTTTTTATTTATACATTTAACATCTCTTTGTACTGACTTCCCATAGTACTATCATGTCATTCATTACATTTATCATTTTATTTCTCTTTTCTTTTCATTTTTTCTCATTTATATGGGTTATATGCTTATTTAATATTTTCCTAATTCAAGTTGGAGGCAGTTGACCAATAACAATGGTAATATTAGGAGTAGTATACAAACTGATATGACCTTCCTCATATATAGGGGTAAGCATGAATCTATAAAACTCATTAGATTAATCTTCCAATGTTCCCTGTAGCTATGACAAAGTTACAATTACAAGAATCAACAATTTTTACTTCACTGGGATAATATGTTGTATGTACCTAATTCCATTTCAATTTTGATGGTATAAGCAACTTGAAATATAAAACTCATTCAATGAAACAATATCCGACACCCCACACTCAACTGCCACACGGATAAACTTGTCTTTCATATGAACAACAGATCATTAACACCAGATATACATTCTGATTATTTACCTGATTAATAGTTCTTATTCTTATGGTCCTCGCATCTTTTCAACAATGTGTCTGCTCTTTTCCTCAATGTGACGCCTTTTCTCTTCCAATTTCTCACTCATCTTCTTTCCCAAATCAAGCATCCTTTCCCTTCTCCCCATTTTTTTTGGCAATCCATCTTCCCTCTCAATAGAATGATTTCGTCTCTCCATCACCGCAGTTTTATGTTCTGACTGAAACTCAGAATTATTCTCCATATTCTGTTCATTAGTCTCCATATTCTGTTCATTAGTCTCAAATGGTTTGTCATCTTGTAACGATGATGTCTTAAATTCTTTCAAATCTATGGTCTTTTGAGGTTTGTCATTCTCTGATGATGGTGCATCAGGCTCTTCGAAACTCCTGTTGCTTTCTGATGTCACTGAATCAGAGGAATTTAATGACAGTTCTAGAGAATCTGATGATTTCCTAGTTGCTTCTTGACTAGATTCAGCACTAGTTGAATTTTGTTGTTTGTGCTCTGAATCATTACTTGAGATGCTAGCACCACTAGTTTTCACTCCACCAGAAGGTTGATTATTGGTATAAGTTGAAGTGGAAGTTTCATTTCTAAATTCTTGGTTAACCCATATGTATGGAGCAACAGTTCGAGGAACCCAATCATCCTTTTCTGCTAGCATCCATGGGATGCATACACTTTCACAGTTTGGGAGCACCAAAGTTTCCCGAATTCCAGTCTGCAGGAGCAAAACTAAATTCAGCTTGCAAGCAAAAACTGCTCTTATTTTTTCTATAGAGACAAAAGTTTAAACACATTGTGCTGCTGTTACACTTTCTAAAGAGTTATGAAGTTAAACACATTTCTCCGTTACGAGTGTGCCCATGATAAGGATGTCAATAGTTCTGTCAATATTATGAGAGAAGAAAGGATATAACAGAGGAAAAACACTCCGCACACCTCTAAACCAAACTCCAAAAAAAAAGGAAACAACGTATCTTTAGAAAAACAAAAACAATTGTTGGGTAGTAGAGAGTAAAAAGTGGGCATTAGTTTTGTTTTGTTATCATTTGATAAATTGAGCACTAATTCAGTTGTATAAAGGGAAATCCTTTATGATGGGAAAACGTTGGAAGGAAAATCTTCTCCTTGGGTTCTATGCAAATCAATAGACACTATTAAAGAATTCTTTCTCATTTTTTTTGTCCTTCAATGAGTTTCCAAACAAAAAACTATTAGAGGATTTCATGAACGGGGTGACAAGATGTAGCAGAGAAGAAAGAAAGCACTCTGTACTCCCCTAACCAAACTCTGATGTAAATATCACTTCTAAAATTTTGAAAGCACACATTATACTTGGTCATCACTAATTGTGGAGAAGGAGTACGACCTTTGGTGGGATCCACCTCCCCGCCCCAACCTAAAAGTTAATTACATCACGTGAAAACATTAGAAATGACTGCATTGAGAACAAAAATATAGAATCTCACTTCTTGGTTTGGTCATGTAAGAAGAATAATAGAGGCTGTGATAAGAAGAATCAATCATAGAGATAACCTGATAAAAGGAGGTAGATAAAGACCAAGAAAAGTCTACGAAAACCTATTAAAAATAAGTAAAGAGTTCCGTCTAAACGGTGTCATTTGATGTACTTACCCAGTGGTAAAAAGGATTTTGTCGTTGTTAGTAGAAGATGTTAATATAGCCAGAATTATACGGCTACTCACTCCAAAGAAAGGTAGACACAATGAGAGAGCATTTAGGCACTTAAAAAGAAGTCAGTCCCAAAATTATGGCTACTCTCTTAAAAAGAGAGCAGTTATGAATTGACAGACGGAAGAAAAGAGAATTTAACGATATTTGCATATATAGTTAATGATATTGATGATAAAATATTCCTAAATAGTTAAAAAATTTACATGCAGATGAATAAAATACATCAAATTTGAAAACATCAATAAAAATTGTAGGGGAATATACTTCTTTCAGTAATTTATAAATCATAATGAAAGAGAGTAAGTCTTACCTTTAGCCTGTTGACCAGGAATAAAGCAATGTGAGCACTTGTTATCTTACGATCTCCAACAGATGACTCCATGTTGAAATCAATGTCTGGCATTGATGTGAAAGCATACCACAATTGATCAGAGGGAGGTGGCTTTATATGCAAGCGCAATGTTCCTCTAAGGGAAGTCACTCTTATTGCCAAGGTGAGAGGAACCTTTGACAAGATATAATCAGTTACTTTGAGAACAAAACAACTTTTTTGTTTATGAACTGGTGACTAGACTACGTAGAAAGTGAAACAGGAAACAAATGCGCATTATCATATTTGAATCTAGCTGTGTGAAAATTATTAAGATATTATCATTATCATTATGGTTATTTATTTTATTAAGTGATATATTTTTAATTTATTTATAAATATAATTATGAGATGGACATATGAACATTATTTTATTATTAATTAAAAATATATTCTTAACCTATTTATGATATTATTTAATGAACATAATTATGAACATTATTTTATGAATATAATTATATGGACATCATTTGATGAATATTTGTAGGAGTGACATTTTTTCCTTTATATAGTGTATATGTCTATATATTGATAGCCTATGAATAAAAGAGATGATGAGTTTTCTTGCTCTAAAATTTATCAAATCCGATAATACTCATCAAACATAACATTAGTTTATACACTCCACACGAAAACAGTAAAAGAATCCTGAACTTTTCCAGTGGCTTAGCAAATTATCAAATATCCAAAAAAGAGTTAAAACACTACTCCTGCAAACAGAAAAACTGAAAACAAAGACAACATTCAGAATAAGAGTTAAGAACATTGATCAATGCATATCAATTACATTAATCCAAAAGAAATTGAAAGAGACAAATCAAACAAAACTCGTTAAAAGCAAAACTTAAATTTACTCAACCAAATGTCCTTTTTGCATAAGATTGGTGTTTGCTGTTAGCTCTTAGTATGTAGTGCCCATTTGTCCCCTGAATCATACGAATGCCTTATGGGTTGCCATGCTTTTGAAATATGAAAGACAACTTAAGAGGGTGTTTACTTTGAGCATTTTTTATTTCATTTTTAAAGAAAACAAAATGTGAAGCCGAAAATATATTTGATTTAAAACCTTTTCATAGAAAATAATTTTAGAAAAGACCAAAATTTGTACAAAAAAAAAAATTGTTTTGACTTTTTATTTTCCTTGTCTGTTTCATTATTAAAAAAAAACAGTAGAACCCTTCATCACTGCTACTAGACACCCACCAAATCATCACTCCCTCCAAACCAGCTAGCTAGTGATTTTCGTTTGATGACTTTGGAGCTGTTAGCGATGTCATCTATGAAATTGGCGCCGTCCAAGTGGCCATAAACTCCAACTCAAGGGGTGGTGCTAGATGTAAAGGTTAGCGTAAGGGAGTATTGGTGGATGAACAAACATCATTTTTCGTAAGCCACAAGATATTGAAAATGAAAACAAGAAGTAACACTAGACAAATTTGCAAAATCTTAGCAAATTGAAAATGAAAATAGAAAACGTTTTCAAACACCAAACCCCCTAGAGGGTCTACTTTTGTTTTCATTGCAAGTGCTTCTTAATTACAAAAGCATCACCTTGTTTTGAATTTTATTCACAAGTATTTGTAAAGGAAATACTGAAAAATATTATTTTTAGTTTTCTCTATTTCTTGTACGAATCTTAAGAAATCAGAACTATGTTTGAAAACAAGCAGTCAATTTTATATTTAAAAAGTGCAAAATGAAATTAAAAGAAACGTAAACAGGCCCTTAGTAGAAAGGTACAGTGGTTTCAGTTGTAACAAAGCCTTTGAAATTCTAGAACAGGAAACAACAACAATTAATCACATTCTTACTTTATTATAGAAGTTTAATTGTACATTTTATCAGTTATGTTTTTCCAAACACATTTTACCATTATGTTTTCAATTTCCGTGCATTTTACCAATTTATTAAATCTATAACAATATATTGATGTGTCCCTAAATCAACGTCATTTTATCATCAATTTTCGCAAAATAGTGTCAATTTGTTACCAACAAGATAGAAAATATATAGAAGTTGAAAAACCTGACGATAAAATATACAAAATTTTAAGCGTTAAAATATACAAAAACTAAAAAGTTGATGGTAAATTGCACAAAAACAACTTGGATGGAAAGACTCGCAAACTAACAATAGTTGAATGATGAAATGTACAATTAAACTATTATAGAAATGTTCATTAACCCTTCAGGTTGATTTTTCACAAGATTATACGTTTATGGGAAGAAAAAAATCATATAAAGGAGGGTATGGTCTTCAATAAATTAGAACCACACTAGAAGATTGCTCACCAAAATATATAATAGCAAGAAATGTAACTTGGTTTAATCTTATTAGATGATGTGCATAAATCTAATTATATTGGCTTGAAAAGTGAAAACTGTCAGAGCTTTATAAGCATTATTTAGGGCATGCCTCTATTCGATATAGGACTAAGTGACAACAATTGAAGTTGCAACTAAGGTCAGGCTTAACATGGCTCTTCAATTACAAGCCATTCATACTACTTAACCGAGGAGACGGGAAAGAGGAATGTCATTTCATGCATCCACACAACATTATCAAAATAATAAAATTTCAATTATGAAGATAGTGGAAGAAGAAATTGATGGAATAGAGGAAGGAATAATAAACAGAGGATACCTGGGAAACCTGTTTGGCAACGGAATTTAATAGAGATTTCCATCTTGATCCATGATTTAACGAAGGAATAGTGCTCTTAAAGGTCTTGGAAACATCTGCTTAGATAAAAACAAGATACACATCACAATATCAATCTAAATACTTTATAAAATACTACATAGAGATGACAATATTCTCTCCTTCACATTTTGGATGTTTACTATTTATCATCAAGAAGACAAGCAAAAGTGAAAAAATCGCAAGGTAGATCCTTACGTAAAGGGAGGGGGGAGTCCTTATGAAAAACATACAATTTCTTTGCATTATTTTAATTTGAAAATATTTAAACTCATCAAAAGCACCTCAGGTGGTGTGGGATGAGATTTGGAAACCCCAGCCCATAATCTCAATAAAGTGTACTTAGTTTATAATCTGTGGAAATTACAGCAAATGAGTAAATCATGGATGTGCCAACAACCTTAGAAAGCCGTGTGGCCCTAAGTGGCAAATACATTGGACATCCTCTGAGGCAACCAATTAACTTCAAGATAGATTTCAGGAAATAAGAAAATGAGGATAAATGATTACGTTTGATATGACTCAAAAGACAGAGACAAAGTTCATATATAATTGGATTTTACAAGACTCGTGTACTAACCAGGGTTCCAATCACCTTCTTCTTTGTGCTCTTGTAAATCATTCGTTCTTTCTGCAAAATTCAATTGCTCTTCAAAATATTCAAAATCTTCAATAAGATCTGAAGGGACAGCTCCAGCATTGTTTGGCTGTGGATTTGAGTGTTCTGTTCCTGCATCGAGCTCTAGTTCACGAGGCTCAAGCCTTGTTTCAATCTCTAATAGTGCACCTCCAGAATATTCAATGTCAACTTCTACGGCCCATACTTCACTCATTTCCATAGGAAGAACCCGCATTCCTACAATGCAAGGTGGAACATTCCCAGTATTGATATTGGTACAGATGACTTCACCAATATAACCTGGAGTTCTCATATTGGACAATGTTTTCTGAAAAAATGGAGAAAAAGAGACTTGTTTATCTCAGAAGTTTTCTGTGGCAGAGTTCTCAGCATACACACAGAAGTAATCAATATTTATCTCATACTAAAACAACTATAAAGGAATGAAGTCCCGATCATAAATATGGAGCAGAGGGGTAAATCATGTTTATAAAAATAAGCACCCCTCAAATAAAAAAAATGTTGAAATCAACTAATTACTTTCTTTCACTACTTATGTTAAGAAAAACAACTCTGATAATGGGATAGCTTCCTTTCGAACTGCTTGATAGTTTCATATTTTTTTTATAAACTCGGTATTAGTACGGTTTATTCATGACTAAAAGGATGAGCACACATAATGTGCGTATTCCCTTTCAACATGATTTAATCATTATCCAAAGTGGTATCATCAAGATTCGAACCTTAAACAACTTGGTAAAGAGACCCAAGTGGCTACCACTTGTGATGACCAATGCTGATTGAGAACCTGATATTAAATCAACCATATCAGTTAAAGAGTCAAAATTACTGTGTAATTGACTTAGAAAGTACAGGATCTTATATTTTCATTAACTTAGGTAAACTTGTGGTTTATGAACTACGAGTAATGGGAAGGATTTCATTCAACAAGATAAAACTATCATGTTTCCAACACAAATAAGCCAATATGATCAATTAAAGAAATTAAAATTAATAGAGATTATGTTGCTAGAAATTGATACCTAGTCAAATGATACTTTTTTCGCATATAACAAACTCACTCCAAACATGTAAAATGTCAAATGGGAAAAGGTTAAACCTGAATCCTTGCTTGCATGGATCTCTTCAACTGCTCATTTCCTTTGGCATCGAAAAAGAGCCGAGAAATCAACAAATTCCAACATAATGTTCCTTCATCAATGCTAAACTTCTCATTGTCTACTATGGAATTGTTTAGAAGCTTTGATGTTGAAGCAGACTTCAACAAACTAGTAGCCAAAATCGCATCTTGGCAAGCCCGAAGCTTCTCAGTGGTCTTTTTCCCTTCACTACCCGATTGTGAAGATCGAGTTGATATATTTTCCAAACCAACTCGGGATGTTCTTTTAGAAACCTTTCTCCAAAATTGCCGAACCTTTGAGGAAGAACCATCAGGCTTACCAGCACTTTCTATCACTTCAACACTTGATCCAACCGATGGTTTCATAAAAGAATGGTAAACAGAGTTCAAGGAAGTCAGATAACTATGAAACTCATCATCCAACTGGGTAAACCATTTGATTTTTTCTTTTTTATCACATGAAGCTAGATTGAGGGCCTTACACCATGCTTCTTTCTCCCATGAAGTGTCAAGATATATATAAATAGTTTTGTTTCCCTTGTATATGACAGAGGTTTTGTTTTCCACTTTGATAGGGAACTTCTTTGCCCTGCAAGATTCATCACCAAATAAATAAGAAATTTAAACATCTAGCTTCCTCAATATATCCATAATAGCTCAACATTGAAAGAAATTTTGCATTAGCTCCTAGCTAGGAAGTAAGTGAAGTTTAGAAATATGTTCACTGTAGCAATTCTTGCCACCCTTTAAAAAACTTTGACACCGGTGATTTTCACATTCCTACAATTAAGGCTCATTCATACATCCATGTGCAGCTAAGTGAAAAAGTGCTGGTAATAGAAGAAGTGGAAGCAAAAGGTAAGTGGTGAGAGACAAAAAATAATGGACAAGATGCACACTAAATTCACCTAACAACAAAGAGCATCTTAGAAAAAGTATGACGCCGGTAGCACTTGCCACAGTGCATAATGGAAATAAGATGCTCCCCGCCATTTTTTTGGGAAATCATGGAACGGCCTTGATAATGCATAACCATTAAAAGTCAAAAGCCAGTCACTGGTTACGGTAATGATCACTGTCAATCCATAGCAAATAATAACCCCAATATAAGAGCCCTTCACACCACATTACCATTTTCTTGAAGAAAGTATTGATGCGGACACGGCTTGAACTGCACAGCCCTTGAGTTCAATCGTTGTGTGCAAACCATCAGAGTCTCTAAGAATAAGTGATTGACCCTTGATTTGTCCATACATCTTAACAGGGGAAACCTCCAAGAGATCATTTTTCCTTTTTTGCTCCCTGGACTGTTTTGTAATTTTCCCAGATTCCAGAACCCAAACCACACCCTGAAAAAAGCTAAAAAATTTAATGTAACAGACATAAACAAATACATAGTTTCCCAGAAACCAATCCTCATCCATACATATAAACATAGTTCTCCAAGCCAAAGCTCATAAATGTGAAACTCCGAAACATTAGAATAACACAAAAACCATACAGATACCCTGCAAATTTCCCACACTTGATACCAAACTTCCTTTTCCAAATATTTCAACCATTTTAAGTGAGATGATTGCAAAAATTAATTGCGTAATAATCAGTAAATAGACCAGAAAGTCACCAAAATCATTTATTTCACTAAGCCGTGTTACTATTGTAACTAAAGCCTTTTCATCATAGATCATTGTAAACATGACACTCTCCCCATGAAATAAGCTAACCTTAAAGGCATTACCAATTCCATTCTGGATTTCACGGTAATAATAAAACCAAGTGAACGATCGTACTCATTATACTCAGTTTGGGCATTTTCAACCCGAAGCGATAATCAATCAGTACCAACCTGCTTTCTAAACGCAAAATCCAGAGACTGTTGGGGATCAAGCAGCGCAGTAGTTAGGGTCTTGGAAGAGAAGTAGGCTTCGTCGCTGTTGCTCTTATGCTGCAACCTTTTCATGATCCATAACAACCCCAGAGCTTCTGCAGCAACAACGGCCAACACCCCGAGACCAAACCCCACAAGAACCAAACCCAAAACCGTAGCCATTTCAGACCAGCGAAGAGCAAAGAGAAAATGGGAACTTGTACGTAGTCGAGTCTCTTGCAAGCGCGTTGATGTGACAGAAGCACGTTCCTTATTCACCAGTTATTTTCAAATCTAAGTTACTTCACCTTTTTCAAAAATAAATAATCCATTACCAGAAGAAGACACGCTCCTCGTAAAAGTAGAGAAATATCAGCAATTTTAGATTAGATTTACAGTCAAATTTACATATTATTTATTATATTAAAAAATCTGAAAATCTAATTTAGGTTACCATAAACAGAAATGTGTCCATTTTTTTATAATACTTTGACTTGATGGATACAGTTTATTTATTTTTGTGGTCCTGTGACCCAACCCGACTTTACCAAAGGCTGATTTCATGTCAATTATTTTAGCCTATGTCTCCTGAATTCACGGCAATTGATCCCCCAACGTTGTAGTGAAGCAGAAGAACTTGCAAAGTATTTAAAGATGGAAAAGACTGTACTAGAAAAGAGATAACAATTAGTTTGCCTAAAATTTGACAGTCATATATGAAAGTAACCAAACCAAAAGAATTGGATAAAGAAGAAACATCACTTAACAAGAAGACCCACTAAACAAAAATGTACATTTTTATCAATGTTCTGGTTACCAAAAAATCCTTAACATATGCCGAAGTCAGAGTACCATAATACTAAGTAAAGGACATGAGTTAGGATGTTTGGATTACATTGAACACACATGAAACAATGTACTAGGCACAAGTGGGCTGGCATGTGAAGAAGTTGAAGTCATGGTGATCAGCGTTGAGAAGTTTCAACCGCGAGTCTGCAGCATTGTATAGATCAGACACCACTTTATTGGAGGTGTTTGACCAAACATTTTTCTGCATTTTGTAAGTGGCTAGTCCAAATGGAAAGAGAGATATACAACCACCCTCTTGTTTCTTACATTTTTCTCTTATAATTCTTCGCCACCCATTTGAAAAACATGCACTGCTCCCTGTGTCAATTTCATCATATGTTCTTGCTAAATCTGCAAAACAAAATCAAAATATAGTTGTAGGAATGATATCAGGGTCACCCCTTCGAAATCGTAAATGCATTTGATGTATTGAAGATGAATACAAATTTCAAGTGATGTATGCAGAAGAATGACAAGCATCATATGCTACACGGATCAAAAGCACAAAGAATACATAAATTTTGTGAAATAAAATAGAAAAGTGCAAAAATTAAAGCAGAATTAGTTCTCTGAACACGTGATAGATGCTACACATCTCCAAAGGAAACAGCAAGAGCTTCAAACTATTAGATATCTTTTAATTTTCTTTATCTATTGACTGAAGGAAGACAACTCACTACGTATGATACCTTGGAAAGACGACAATGTATGGAAAGTGAGGAAGCTTGACAGGTCCTTTTTACTTTTCTGACATGGTACGGAATAAAGCGGGTACCTATTCAGACAGTGTGAGATTTTCTATCATGCAAACAAATAGAAACTACAAGTAAATATAAACTTCACTAAAAGGTCGAAAAAAACAAATCGATTATGAACTTTTTAGACACGTGATTATGACCGAAGGAAATTAAAAATAAAACAGCATTCTGTGACAACAACTCAGAGAAAGAGTGATTTTTATCAACCATAAGTTATGTTTGAATGAAATCAAAATCGCAACAAAATAATCCAGAAAATTATTCATATAAGGCAAAATGAAAATTTTCCTTCTCTTCCCAAGTTGCAGAGTTCATCTTCAAGAACAAGAAATTTTCAAGACAACAAAACCAACTATGTCTGCTCACCAAGCAACAGCCATCCAACTGGTTGGGTAAATATCTGCACTCTTCAATGTCATCAACGCTGGGTGGCTTCTAGCTAACTCAGCTATCTGAAACAAGAAACATCAACAGACATCCAGCACGTGAGACAGAACATAAAAACATGTCATTTGTAGTTGATAAGAAGTTATGAATACCATACCACTTTAAGTCAGAGGCTACCTTCTCAGAAAATGGAACTCTCTGCCAATATGGAGAGGTCTCATTGTACTGTAAGTAAAGTTCATTATCCTTTGCTGTCCAAGAACCCACTTGTTCAGAGTTTGAATCTAAAGAAGCATCATCCCATGCTTTGCTAGAATTGTTACTCAGTGTTCTAGATAGCTTATCACTTCCACTGTCCTCACTCCAGGAATCAGATTCAGCTCCTTCACTATCCTCTTTCCCAAGCCTATATATACAAGAATAACATGGCTCACACCATTTTGTTGAAATATTCAGTACATAAGCACAACTGTTTTGTTTCTGCATACCTAGAAGCTGCTGCAACCGCTTTGCTACTGTAGATTTGGATGGCAGACAAATATGGAACATGGTATTGCATAGTGTCACCATTTTCAAACATCATAGGAGTTCCAACACCATATGCACTCCAGTCATAGTAGCAGTCCCAAAGATCTTTCAGATTGAAGTATTCAACTGTGTCTTTTCCAGGAGGTACCCATTGGCCATTTGGATCACTACAACAGCCCTGAAAAATAGTACACCATAAATGCAAAAAAAAATAAATGTTTTTTCTATGTTTTACTGCAATGAACCTTAATTGTTTTCTGGGTACATCGGAGGTGCAAACCCCGACATAGGGGACTGGTGGCTTGGGTTGGAAAATTATGCCTGGACACTAGTCTATAATGATAGTAATAAATCTCTCTTACAGGATCATTAATTTAAGATTAAGGCCTAATGAAACTCTTTTGTTAACCGTAAGTTANTAAATATATATATATATATTATACAACATTTTGAGTAAAACTTATCAATGGGTCTTAAATATTTTACCATTTAGGATTTCATCTTATGAAGCTTGTAATGAAAATATTCTGAGAGTTGGTTAGAATGAGCTACTATATAAGATCCTTCAAAAAAAAAGTAAAAAATAATTTATATACAAACTAATCTATAAAAATTATCATATAAAATACAAAATTTATATTTTTAATTCGCATATAATTTAATTATAGTTTATAAAAATATCATTTTTTATCTCTTAAAATCTTATACAAAATATTCTAAATAGCATTTATAACTACCTGATAACTTAAGCTGGCGTACCCTTTTATCCAAGGTAGAGAGTGGATTGTGATTGGAGGACCTGCTGGTCCCCTGATTTTATTTTTTATTTATTTTTTATTTATTTTTTATTTATTTTTTCATTGTTGGACGACCCACTTGAAGTCACATGTTCGAAAATGATTTCATGAGAGGAGGAGAAACGTGTACAAAAATATTCTTCCTAAAGTGAAATGGAGTGAGAATCTTCCTGCCTTGGGTTTTTGTATCAGTAATAAAATTATCCTTAACTTCTTTTGGTGGTCAAAATTATCCTTGACTAATTAATATAGTTATGACTTTCTCCTTTTAATAATAATATATAAATGTAAAATTAAATAATTAAAACTTTCGTAAGAGAAAGTAAAGTCTATTATTTAATTTTTAATGTTAATTTTCTATCATCGGATTTGATAACAATTAATCCAAGGTAAAAAACATGCAACCAAGAGAATGAGATAAGGATGAAAATGGTATCCGAAATTAGCCACATCATACACTGTGCAGAACATCATAGAATGGTATCTGAGATAAGTCGTACACGCGCAGAGTACTACATCATCTCTAGCCACATCATAGTACTGTTCAGAACACATGTGCAGAGAGAATCTCGTAGCATGCAACTTCTAAACAAATTAGCCTCAGTTTGAAACTATTCATTTGGTACTAACAAGATAACAAGTTCAGTTCGCTAATGTTCTAGTTGTTGATAAAACATTGCAGTTTTCTCTGAAAACCAGAAAATTATTGGATAAAAGATATATACTACAAAATTTATGTATGTAATGAAATAAAAACATACGTATATCAAAGCAAGGGCATCGAGGGAATATTCGTCAAATTCGTGTCGTTTGACCCATACTTCATCATGGTCATCTGTAACCTCAGATCAAATTTTGACCTTTGACTGATGGAGAAATTAAACCAACTGTTTGGTATTATGTGAATAATTAATTCATTCATTAATAATTAATTTAAACATAAAAAGAAAACCATTTATTATTTTTTATATCTCACACTGAAATTCATAGTCGTAATGATTTCTCATAATTTCTCGCTTAATTCAAAGAAACAGAAGAAACTTAAGAAAATAATAATTATATCATTATCCACTTTTCATTATTGACCCGACGGAGAAAGAAAAGAGAATCAGTATTTTGCGTCCCGGATCGAAGACACGAGAGAATAAAGAGAGATAAACAATATTGAATTTTGGATTAAATAAAAAAAAATTAAAGAAATACCTGAAGAGTGAGTGAAGGAACATCTGGAGTGACGCATACCAGAAAGCGTTCAAGATTGGTGAGAGCTTTTCCGGGAAAACCCAAAGAAGATGCGGAGGACATAATTTTCCAGAGAAAACGACAAGAAATTCCCAGAAACCCTTGATGATCGAACAGCAGAAACAGATGAGTAAATGCAGAAGAAATACGAGATGAATTGTAAATGGATAAATTTTCCTTCTCGGAATTTGTTTCTCAAAAAGGCAGAGATGAGTCAGTGGCGTAAAAATTATGAATGAAAACAAAAAGAAAGCTCATAAATTCTCTCACCTTCGAGTGAGTGCATTACAATGTGAGAGAGGTGGCATGGACGTCAATAAATGCAATAGAGAAAAAGAAAGAAGAAAAGAGAGATAAAGAGACAGACTCACCCAATTAGAGACAGTGGGAATCGTAACTCATTGTTTGGTCTTTCATTTTGATGTTCTTTAAAATGGTTCTTATTTATTGCGAGCGCACAAGAACCAGATTGGGGATTAGAGAGAGGGAGAAAGAAAACAGGGTCTGAGTTTCTTCAACCTTAAAAGACAAATTATTATTGAAAGAAATACGTAGTGGTTTGCGTCGAGATTGTGTGATTTCGGTTCGCCGCGTGTGACGAAGAACAGTGTCAGTATTCACTGTTCCTGCTTATGAACCTCATGCGCGTCGTTTGTTTTTTCTGCACCATCAAACAGACGGTACAAAAATAAATAATATGTAAGTTATAAATTGAGAGAATAAATTTGGTAAAAAAATAAATAAATATTTAGTTGTTTATAGAGTAAAAAACATATGAATTTTTTTAATTTAATTGACACCGTAAAAAATAAAATAAAAATAAAAATACATAAAAACAATTAAGAAATAGTACGTTCCACAAATATTTTTCTTTTTTCTTTTCATTGATATATAAAATCAATTACATCGTTCTCCGTCGTTTTCTCCTTCACTAAACTTACTTTTTAAACTTCCTATTTTAGTCCATTCCCTCTGAATGTCCCTATTTTTATTACTCTAAAATAATATATTTTTAAAGAAAGTTTAAAAATTATTTAATTTTTGTGAGATTTGTTTTGAAAAACTTAGGTGTGTTTGGTGAAGGATTTGATATTGTGAGAGTGCTATGCTCACTTATGAATCATTCTATTCTATGATGTTTCGAGTGGAAAGATATTGAATATATTTTTAAATAAAAAGATTATGTAGTTACAAATTTGTATTAATGTCAAATATTGAAATCTCTTTCACTTAATAAGTAATTGTCTGAACGCAGAAACGACACAACAACAGTTATTATAAAAAAACAAAATTAATTATTTCAATAAAGATAAAATTAAAAAAAATAGATGCATAACAAGATAATGACAAAAAAGTAATATTGGTTTTATGTGTTAATTAATTAATATTAGTATACACTAATGCAAACGTACACATGTAGTTTCACTTTTATTTATGATAATAAATATTTAACATTATTATTATTATTATTATTATTTATTATTGAAAATACCTGTATGTTCACTTTTTTTATGATAGAAAGGAATAATAAAATTATTATCATAAGTTATAAAAATAAATTTATATAATTTTATTTATTTTGTAGGAATTTTTTTATTATAAAAAGTTATTTTAGTATGAAAAAATATTAGATTTAAAAAAGGTCAAATTAGAAAAACAGTTAAATTTAAAAAAAAAATATGTACACCGAAGTAAAAAATCTCTTGTTACAATAGTTAGAATATATATATATATATATATATATATATATATATATATATAATTTTATATCTGATACTCAATACAGATATTTTTATTATATGTCTTAAGAAAATATGTTAAAAATTTTAAAATAATGAATTAGTAATGAAATTTTAGGGAGAAAATTACAAATTTTTGGAGCTACAAAATTATGAATACATAAAGTTATATATAATTTTGTACCTAAATGAAATCATTTTTTAATTATTTTTTTTACCTATTTTAGTGTAAGTTAAAAGTAGCATTGTTAAATTGGGTTAAAACTCATAGTTCAACCCGACCTATCACAAATTCAAGCTAAGTTGAGTTTTAAAAAAAAATTGACACATGCTAAAATTTAATCTGGCTCACTAGGAACTTGACTCACCTAAGTTGAAAGTGAGTCGAGTTAGTTCACTGATCTACCCATAAATTTTGAATTATATTTAAAAAATGAAAACTTTAAACATAACCCTCTTATATTGTGGATTTATCTAGACTACAACAATAATTTGATGTTAGATGATAATTTGTTTTGCATTTTTATGTTTTTTTATTGTATTTGGAATTTAACATGATTTTGAATCTTATCGTAATTTTTTTGATTGTATATGGACTTTAACATCATTTTTTACTATAATTTGATTGAACTTTATTTAGATTTCAATTAGAATAAATTTGTTATTTCTTTTAGGATTGAAGAAAAAATATTATAATTAGTTAGTATGTTTAACCCACCACTCCATAGTGGGTTTGTCAAATTTAAATTTTTTAGACTCGTTAATAAATAAGTTAAAGATTAACTTACTAAACAAACAATTAATTTGTAATGTCTCTAATCACACCTAACTGAATCAAATGACTCATTTTGAAAGCATTAATTAAAAGTTATAAATTACAAAAAAAAAATTATAAAGGTTCAAAAATGTGAATTAGGCTAATATTACCAAATAAAAATAAAATAAAAATTCTAAAAGTATTTTAAGATAATGAATAATTAATTAAATTATTAGAAAAAAATTGGAGTTACAAAACTATGAAGATATAAAAATAAAATATTAAAAAAATGCTAAAGGTATTTAAAAATAGTGAATATGAAGGAAAAAATAATTTTTTAAAACTACAAAACTATAAACGGATGAAATTATATGTATTTATGTGTTTTGTAAATAGTTTTGTGTCTATTTTAATGTAGTTAAAAAATTTAAATCAGCAAAAATAACTAAATTATATTATTAAAGATAAAATAATAAAAATAAAATTGTACACAGAAAATATGTATCCTTTTTACTTAAAAATTTTAAATTAGTAAAAGTAACTAAATTATTTTATTAAGGATAAAATAGGAAAAATAAATTTATACACCAAAAAGTGTATCCTCTATATTATATATATAAGATATATTGATATAGATGATTATAAAATTAATATAAATAGTTTTTATTATTTTGTTGTAAATAGTTTTTATTTATTTTGTACATGTTTTTTAGTTAAAATTATTAATTTTAAAAAATAACGTCAACTAAAAAAAGGTTAAATTTTAAAAAATGATTATTTAAAAGTTAAAATTAGTAAAATAATTATTTTAATTTAAAAACTTTAAATCAAAAGGTAAAATTGAAAAACAAATTTTAATCAAGAAAGAAAATTCCTTTACATATCATATGAGGATAAATAATAAAAAACTAAATAATAAAAAAACTAAAAATGAAAAAGGTCCCTTCAACGCGAGATGCTACAAATAAAAAAAATAATTAATCCATGACTTATTATATATAAAATTATAAAAATGTTCACACTAAAATAATTGTAAAAATATACGTTTTATCCGAGTTTATACAAGAAAAATAGTAGATAACAATTTCAAATGCGTTTATATATGTCCTCGGTCTAAAATAGTTTATATGTTTTTTAAAAATTATAGTTAGACACGTTCATTATTAACCCTGGCGTAAACACAGTCTGTTTTTATTTTTTTTAAGATGCTTGGTTATTATTACAAACTTAATCCTATGGTAAATAATGCATAGAAATTTTTTAATATTTTTTTTAGTGAGAGTTTCAGTTGCTTGGTTAATATTATGATATTTTGTTACGAAAAACTTTGTTTTCATGTTTTAATTCTTCATTTTTGCATAGTAATCTTAAAGAAACTTTTATTACGAAACCTGATAGTAAACTTATAAGTCTTTTTGGAAAACAAAAATTAAGTTTTTTTTAGTATTGGATGATTTATGTTTGATATTTTAAGATTTTCGTTGCATTGTTTGTATGACCTAGAAGGAAAAGAGAAAGAAAAGTTTAATGTTCTTTATAATTACATTTTTACTAAATAAAATTTGTATATTTTTATTTATTTTATTTCATTAGCAAGATATAACAAAATTCATTATCAATTCATAAAATG